CTATGCAAGCCATTGACCAGGTTATAAACTCAGCTGCCAAGACCTACTACATGTCGGGGGGCCATCAGCCTGTGCCCATAGTCTTCAGGGGGCCCAATGGTGCCTCAGCAGGTGTGGCTGCCCAACACTCACAGTGCTTTGCTGCCTGGTATGGGCACTGCCCAGGCTTAAAGGTGGTCAGCCCCTGGAATTCAGAGGATGCAAAAGGACTTATTAAATCAGCCATTCGGGATGATAATCCAGGTCAGTAGAGTGACCCTTAGGTCTCTTTTGAACCTTAAAGAACTAAGTTGAAATCTTTGCCTGGAAGGAAGCCGTTAAAGGCTTCTAGTTAGGCTTAGACATATCATATGAAATGTTAATTAATGATTTACAGATACAGTAGAGACCGTTTTAAAAAAGGTGTTTTTGTTTTTGCTTTTCTGAGTACAAAGAGGCCTGTTAGGTATCTACAACGCTGGTTTAACTACAATAGATGAAATGAGGACTGAGCAGACAATAAATGCCAGCACCTAAATCATCCTCTCAAGGCTACTGGACACACTAGATGGGAGGCTTCCTAATCGGCACGGTGAAACTTTTCACAAAATGAATGATAGTGTTGTATATCCATTTGGTCATGTAGTTACTTCTGTTAAATATTTGTATTTTGCAGTGGTAGTGCTAGAGAATGAACTGATGTATGGAGTTCCTTTTGAATTTCCCTCAGAAGCTCAGTCAAAAGATTTTCTGATTCCCATTGGAAAAGCCAAAATAGAAAGGCAAGGTAAGAGCACTTAGTACATGCTCAAATATTATTTGTAATCTAGCTCCTGTATTTATGTTGGTCAAATTCATTCCTTTTTTTTTTTTTTTTTTTAAGAGGTTGGGGAGGGTCGGAGGGAGAGGGAGAGGCTCTAAGCCCAACTTGGGCTCGGTCTCCCGACTCTGAGATCGTGACCTGAACTGAAATCAAGAGTCGGAAACTTAACCAACTGAGCCACCTAGGCACCCCTGGTCAAATTCATTCTTGAGGTTACTGCCCTTTACTTTGATTAGGAAATTAGAGGAGGAGTTCAAGTAAAGAAATGTGTCATGCTTTGCTCCTACACTTGTGCTTTCCTAATTCGCAGTCTGGTAGATTTGAATTTCATCTCTAGGGAGGCTACCACATTCCTCACCTCCCTGGAACGGAGTTGAGTTGAAGATTTTACAAATGAACAAGAGCCACAGTGGCTGCAGAGCAGTACAACATCTTTAGTTTCAACCTGGCCTCTGATCTGTGACCACTTTGTTTCAGGGACACACATAACCGTAGTTGCCCATTCAAGACCTGTGGGCCACTGCTTAGAAGCTGCAACAGTGCTATCTAAAGAGGGAATTGAATGTGAGGTATGTGGACATTGATTTCTTAAAGAATCAGAAAGTTTCCTTTTAAATCTAAAACCCAGAAATAGGAGTTTGAATTCTGTAACAGGTTAACTAAGTGTAAAATCTTGCTTTGTCACTCAGTTCTGCTTCTGCATGAAGCTGGGAACCTTCTTGCTTTTCAAATACCTAGCTTTTTACCATGTAGGTTCTAGCTCTGTTAGAATAGTACCTGCTTTCTCAAGTTGGGATCCAACCTTGGAGCTGGAGGTCAGGAGAGGGGCAAACTAGAAATCAGGGTCTCACTCTTTCATGTCCAGCACCTACCGCTCGCTGGTTACACTTGGGCAAGATCCGTACTGTGAATCTCAGCCCCATCAGCTGTAAACCAAGGAGAATACATTTACTGTCCCATCAGGGTGGTTGTGGGAATTACACGTAGTGTAGCACCTGGTGCACGGGGAGCAGTCCGTTGGTAGTTATTAGTTGTTTTGACGAGAAGAAGTTAAAGCCCAAGAGGGTAAGTGCATTCTTAACAGAACCACTTGTGGTAGAGATAAAGATTTGTTTTAATTACAATTTCCCATTTTACATTTTGTTCTTGAATAGGCAGATTTGATTTTCCTAGACCCAGAGATTAACAGGAAACAAAGAGGGAGTGGTATTATGGGGATGAGACTGTATTTGTGGTGCAGTGACTCTATAAAGCATATCTGTATTGTCTGTTTAGGTGATAAATATGCGAACCATCAGACCAATGGACATTGAAACAATAGAAGCCAGTGTCATGAAGACCAATCATCTCATAACTGTGGAAGGAGGCTGGCCACAGTTTGGAGTAGGAGCTGAAGTTTGTGCCAGGATCATGGAAGGTATTTCAGAGAAAATGGTTCTAGAATACTCAAGCTGTAATAAACAGTGTGTACCTGGATACTGGATACAGATCAAAAGCTAGGGGTGGCCAACAGTCTTAACTTTCAACTTGTCACCTGGGCATTTTTCCTTTGGGTAAATATTTTTAAAAAGCCAGAAGCAGTCCCGGTAATTAGTATTCCTTTAGATTTTCTCTCCTTTGGAGAGCCATACTCCCTGTGGGAAGGTGGTGGTGCTAAGGGTCTTTTCTTGCCTCTCTCAGTTGAGCCTCCTTCTCTTCTAGGCCCTGCATTCAATTTCCTGGATGCTCCTGCAGTTCGTGTCACTGGTGCTGACGTCCCTATGCCTTATGCGAAGATTCTGGAAGACAACTCTATACCTCAGGTTAAAGACATCATATTTGCAATAAAGAAAACATTAAATATTTAGTTTGGACTTGAATTTCAAGTCATTGGGATTTATGTAAAATACTTGCTGTCACTTCACCTGGATTGTACTGTAAGACCTTACGATTCATCAAGTTATCCTTAAAGCAACAAGACAAATGTTTTTGTACTTGGAAGAAGTTTAAATGTGTTTGTATGTGGAAAACTTCTTCTCTCCTGTCCTAGACTCCATGGGGTTTTTTTTGGTCTCTTACAATTACCATGTTCTTTGAATAAGGCTAATGTAAAATTTTACCCTCTCACAAGGACAAGGTATGAATGTGGCAGAGTTCTACAGAAAGATGTATCCAAAAATGACAACTTGTATGTAAAGATGAAACCTATTATCTACATTTGCTGTTAGATTGTTTTGATAAGGAATAAAGGAGTTCCTAATTATAACTAATTGTATTTTTATTTTTTTAAAGATGTTTATTTATTTGACAGAGACACAGCAAGAGAGGGAACACAAGCAGGGGGAGTGGGAGAGGGAGAAGCAGGCGTCCCGCTGAGCAGGGAGCCCAATGCGGGGCTCAATCCCAGGACCCTGGGATCATGACCTGAGCCGAAGGCAGACGCTAAATGACTGAGCCACCCAGGCGCCCCTAACTATATTTTTATATTCTTGAGGTAATAAACGTGGGATGGATGGAGGTCTTAAAATTCTGCTAAGAATTTCTGTTAAGAAATTAGTGACACTAAATCACCTAAACTGCCATCACACTTGTAAGAGGAACTTGTCCACAGACTTTTCAAATGCCCCATTGTAATAGGGTTCCCTTCCAAATTAAACCAAAATTCATGTCAGGTATTTTTCCCATTGCCAAAAAATAGACATTCTGCTATATGCCGCCTTCTTTAGAGGTTGAGACAGAAAAGACAGGTTTAAATTAGTTATAGAAGCAAACAAGGGGTGCCTAATTTAAATAGCAAGACAGGATTGTTAGCTTTTAGTAATTAAGAGAGAAAAGACAAAAGAAATACTCTGTGGATCTATTCTTTATAAAAGTTCCCACAAAAAATTCCCACTTCAAAGGCCTAGCCAAGCTACAGACAACACATTTTCTTGACATGGTTTATTTTAATAAAAAATACAGCTGAACATTTATCACAGATTAAATGAAACTATACACAATGACATTCTCTCTGCATAGTAACCAACACTGATGTGTGTACTTGAATTTTTAAATGGATTACTGATAATCCTTTAAAGTGCAATTTATTTAAGGTTTAAGCAAATCATAGGATAAAGGATCTAATAAATGAGTAACATTAAAAAGATATATTTGGATAAATCTTTCAAAAATCAGAATTGATTTCTATGGATGCCAGATTTACTTGTGTTGTAATAACTCCCCACAAACCACAAACTTGACTTTATTGCTGAGGATTAAGGAGATCCTCTGATCGGCAAGAGCTTTTCCTGATGTTTACATTTTATGTCTGTCCAATACACTAACTAAAAGGAACTAGGAGTCTAGAGTGGTTGCTTTCACAGCCCTGAGTTCTATAACCACAATGGTATTCCTGTTAGAACCTAGAGAAGGTTCCGGACTTGACTTGCCCCTGTCTATCTGAATGGAAAAGGAAGAACTCAGTTACTTCTCTCACTCCGCGACATAACTATGCTTTGGACTACAGTGTTAATAATGTCCAAGACAAAATTAGGTAGCAAAAATGGGAGTTATCGAATAACCAGAAAATGCTTTATAGAGAAATGAGAGGAACATTTCTGGGAGCTGTCTGACAGGATAGGCGGGATTGCAACCCAAAGGTCATTCGCTGCTGTGACTGAACATTGTCACTGTTTTTCTGTGCGTTTCCTTCAGTTGGTGACAAGGTTGACTCCAATATGCTGCTGTCCCCAAAAGAAGCCCCTTAGAGGATGAACCAGACTCCTTTAAAATGGTAATAAAGGAGCAAAATAAATATTTCTTAAGGCAGAAATGCCAGCCTGACCTTATTCTAATTGACTATTTCCCTCTTGAGAAGCCTCTTGCCTGAGCATCTGCAAAAGAGTCTGCGGCTGTCCTGGCTCAGCAATCATTCATCTGGAAAGAGAGTACTTCAGGGATTGGAGGTGGGAGGAAAAAACAAAGAACTTTTCCCTCCAAGTGTAAACACGAAGCTTTAGCCGATCTTAGGAGCACTATGATCACAGGTTTCGGCTTTCCTCAAGGTTCCCTTTTGGAAATTCTGGATGGAGCTGAGTAAGGCCCCGCGGCTCACACCGTTCACAGCCTGGGGCGGGAGCTGTGTAGGCACCTCTGGGCTCGCAGGAAGCAAGGGAGCTGCTGGTGGTGGAGGTGGAGGCGGAGGCGGAGGTGGAGGAGGTAAAGCGGCCGTCCCTGGGGGGTCGGGGGGAGAAGGGACAGTGAGTATCATCTCTCCCAACACCCCACACACATGCTACTGCTCAGTCCTGGGTAGAAGGGACTTGGATGAGACTGCAAATGTGTTCCCCCAGAGGGACCAAGCTACCCATACTGTACGGTTTTTTAAAATGCTGAACAAGAAAGCTAGAAGCATCAAAGGGGAATTAATTCAAGGTTACCATTTTCCCCTAAGTCATCTTAAGACTGAGTATCACAGATTACATGAAACCATACACAGTGACCTTCTCCCTACGTAGATGAGGCTCTAACTCCATTTCCAAATTTTAGCAACAGTCCCAAAAGAAAAGTTCCATCAGCTACTTTAGGCAGGTCCAGGGCACGTACTGAGCTAGCAAGTAAAGACAGACATTTGTATGCACAGAGTTGGACTACCTGAATATCAATTACTGATAAAGGATGAACATTTCTTTAGCTGCCCCAACACCCACAATATTTGAAGGATGTGATCTAATAGAAAATGACAAAGCACTCAGGATTCTAGGCAAGGAACCAGTGCCCGCTGGGTTAAGGGTTCCCCAGGGGCGCATGTCTCGAATAATCATTTTCTATTAGGCTGCATTAGAGAAATATAAGATGCTAATAACTGTTAACAGTACAAGACGGGGGGCAGAGGGCTCTCTCCCTGGCAATGGTATCCTCAGGAGGAGGAGGAGTCTTCCTCAGCACCTTCTTTCCACTGGGGCCTAACCCAGGAACAGAATCGAGCTGCAATAACCCTACATCTTTGCTGAAGCATCAGGAGAGACTCTACCCTAGTGGGCAAGGAGAAGGCAACTAGACAAGTGTCCAAAACTTCCCTTAGCTTCCAGGCACATGAACATGTGGCAGTTGAATGTTATAATTTTGAATCGATGAATGAATGACTCTCCTAGGACAAAATAAAAACTGAGTACAGCCAAAGACCTGTTTTAAAGAACTTACTGGTGCCACAGTTACCTGCCCCATTACCTATGAACCTTGCAGTTCTCAGTGACTCCTGTGTCTGTTTCTAGCCTTAGCCTCGGCCCCTCCTGGAGCTACATAGCGAGACATTCTGTTAGGCGTTCTTCCCCTCTAACCTGCTACTGAGCTGTGGAGGTAACAAGTAAACATACCAATCACCACTTGAGTTTCTGTGGATGACTGGTTCAGGGTCACCAATCAAATACTTAGGTAAGAGCATCCTTTTTACCGAGTGTGACACATAACAGTTCAAAGTCTTGTATTTCATAGAAAACCACTTACCTTCCTTACATCTTTTACTCAAACCTAAGGCAGCTGAAATTAAAGAATCACATAGATACACACATTCATACTCTGCAATCTCAGAATTCTCAAATGATGAAAATATAGCAATATGAATAAACATTAAATACAGACAAATGAACAAAATGTAATTCTCACTGGGTCTATACAGTAACAACTAATGAATGAAGTTCTATTGCGTTTTCTGCCAGGGTGGCTTATGGAAAAATGTTCCCAGCTTTATGTTACAGGGTTACAAAGATAAAAAGGACTTTAAACCCACAATGACTGCTGAGGTGAGAAGAGCAGGGAGAATAAGCATGCCAGAAGGGGGTTTTGGAGAGTGGCCAGTGAAATCCCAGGAGGAGGGGGGTGTCTCTGAAGGTTCTTGGGACTCAACAGCAGCACCAAGAGCTCCCAGAGGAGCCGCAGGTGCCGATACCCCGCAGCGCCACCCAATGGCCAGCATCTGGGTTTGACACTGCGTACCAGAAGGGGCTTCAGTTTCTGCCTGCCAGCTTTGTGCTTTGACCCTGGAGAAAAGTCACTGCAGGTTACAAGAAAGAAAACAGGCTCTGGGCTGCAAGTGCTAAAGGCACAGAGCAAGCCATCCAGAGACCCGTTACCCCTCCAGCCCGGGATTCTGGGTGGCTAGAGGTGTGGGTCTCAGCTGCTGGACCTGAATAGAGAACGAATCTGCTTGGTTCTCACAAGGAGCCGACCCTCGACTTTGGCTGCGTTACCAGCCACTCAAAAATTAAAAGTGCAAATTGATGATCTCAGAGTTTGGGAGGTGGGTGTGGTGCTCAGTACATGGATCTTTATTTTTCCGAATAAAGGCTGAGATTGTTACGGCTTTAAAAATGAATCTCCTTGAATACGTAGGTAGCATAAATAAATACAAGGTCCCAGGTGTCACCGAGTAACCCATGCATATGAAGCAAATGAGAAGTGGAGGTCTGTGCAAAAGGAGACGCTGCTCATCCAACGGTAAGGAGCAAGGTCACCCTGATGTCTGCCCCCAGAGGGCCGGACCAGACCCAAAGGGCCTATCTGTCCCATGAGGCCCAATTTCCTCACTGGGCCTGTGACAATTAGGGCAGATCTTCATGTGTACTACCAGGGCAAGACAAGACCTCATCTTGCCAGCTCAGAACACTCTGGAAGTAGGGAGGAAGTCCCACAGTCAGAAGGTCAGGAGTGGAGGAAGCAAGAACACAGACCCAGGGACTCAGCCTCTGACTATAGGCCTCATCAGGGTTTTTTGGCCTTTTCATTTTACATTCTCTATAGTCCACAAGCTTCCTTTAAAGATTTGTTGGGACTTAAGCTACAACACGTTCTAACAGTTGGCAATATTGATAGGGGCCCAATGCAGAGTTGGCTATTGTGTCTGAGGCCAGCATGAGTGCCACCGACTCGTCCCTGCCAGCAGGTACCCAACAGCCCTTATCTCCAGGCCCCAGATAAGACCAGACAGATTCCATGTTACACTGGTTGCTAACTAACTATAATTTAAATAAAAATTTGAAGGAAAAAAAAAAAAGGTTGGTCACTAACTGAATTCTCCCTGCTCTGAGAAATATTGGCCTGCAAACCCAGGATGAGGGATGCTCCAAAACAGTTCTCTCCCATCCTACCTACTGTCAGACAAAAATCCCAAAAGCCAACTACTTTACCCTCCCCAGAATCCCATCCACCAAACTAATGAGAACCTGGCAATTCAGCAGAGGCCCTGGAATGGACCACATACCACTGCAGGAAGAGCAAAGGTTCGATCTAGGATGGAATGCCTTGCTAGAAACATTCTCACCAGCCTCAGCAAAAGGACACCTGGCGGGGGGGGGGGGGTGCCCTTTCTTTGGGGCCAGTTTTAGCAGTGGGCCATCTACCAGTCCCTGTAGGTCTGAGTTCCGTTGTGGTCCGCGAATGCAAGTGGGGAGACCACGGGGCCACCAGACCAACACCAGGACCTGCTAGCCACCCTCGAGAGGGAACAGATAGCAGTGGCCCCTGGAAGCAGGCAGCCCCCCCAGCTCTTGGCAACTGCCTTTGTATTTTGCCTCAGGTAGATGAGGAGGCTGCACTCATGTCCCAACTCAGGAATTATTAGGGATGCTTTAAAGAAAACTGTTTTCCCCGACAGTTATAAAAGCCAGTGAGTTGTCTTCCTGAAACCAAGAACTCAATCGGCTAATGCTCTTTCCCTTCATCAGAGTGATAGGGAACCAATATGTTTGCTACACTAAGACTCTGGGATCTTGCTTTCCAAAACTGAAATATACCAAAATGCCATGTGGTTAATTTGCAGTTTTAGAGCTGTATTTTAAAACTACAATCAGAGTGGAAATGAAGATTTTGAAGGTCACGGTGAAAATGAAATGAATGTAAATGAAGTCACTTGGGTGCTTTTTAAAGATGCTGTATTTCATTTAAATGTTCAGATAAGGAAATTGTCCCAAATCTGCTTTCCCATTTGTTCATCACTTCAGTGATCTAGATGCACTGGGGCCCATTTCACATCCAGAAACAGAGCATCTTTAAAGTTAGAGAAATCAGTATAGCTTACTTTACCGAAAATTCACGTTCAAAATGGTGCATGCTCTACTGAAAACAGCAAAGAGAGAGAGAGAGAGAGAGAGAGAGGGGACATAAGTCATTATTCGATTTTAGTGTCATTTAATCAAATAGTAAGAGAGAGCAAAATATTAGTCTGAATCACATGCTGATTATTCTCACTGCCAAACTAGGATCTATTTCACCGCAAAACGCATTAGTTTGTAAACACAACCAGTGACCCTTTTAGAACAGGGCAAATATGTTAATACAGTAATCAGAGAGTCAATATGCTAATAGAGTTGCCAGAGAGTCACTTTCCTCTTCATATTTTTTTCTGTCCCCCCTCCACCCGCACCCTGCCATTTGGGTAGGGTTTTTATTTGTTTACAAGCACAATACTCATTTCAGAAGACCAGTGAGGATTTTAGTCCCCCCCCAGCCCCCCAAAAGTGGAATGGGTACAGGAAATATAATTAGTTCTATTGCTAAATAAGGACAGTTTATCAAGAAGGGAGAAAAATTAGAACTCATCACTTTTCCCAATCGAGTCTTCTATAATGTACAATGGAGAAGGGTCTTTTTAAAGCTGGGAAGAGCAAGAGCACAGGCTAAGTCTAAGGTGAAACAGCGGCAAGCGGCCCCTCCCTGAAGGCCACTGGGATCTACAGGCTGAATTTCCGCAGTGAGTGACATTTGCTTACTTGTGGCTATAAAACCATTAAAAAGAAAACAAGCAAGGCAAACATTGTTCTTGTCTTCCTTTTAACTGACTAGATTCCAGGTTAAATGTGATGGATAATGCTTTCCCTGACAGTGAATCCCAGAGCTCCTGATGAACGAAGAGAATCACTTCGTCTGGGGAGGGTCTGAGAAATGAGGCCCACGAGGTGCTGGGCAGGCTGACCACTCACAAGGGATAGATCTGGAAGGATGCTGAGAACACTGCCCTGAGCCACCTCCACCCACACCAGCCTTACCCCCTTGGGCTTGGATGTGGGGAAGGAGGGCTGAAAGAGGGCAGGAGAGCAGAGCCAACATACTCTTCAGAGAAGCACTGAAGGCAAACCTGTTCGTCCCAAAGATGGCAACTGGTTTGTGTGTGGGGGTTTCAAGAAAAAGAGGCAATTCTTATGGCCAGAGACATGGATTTTGAGCCAAGAATGGGTTTCAGACTTTGACCTGGCCAGACAGATTCTGGAAACTCCCAACATTCTAAATATCTCTCTTTTTTGTGCTTTATTTATTCTTAACCATCCTTCCTATTATTCAAGCTTTCAGTCACTCTGTGCCCATAAGGTTCTGTTTTCCCTCCTCCATCTCTCTAGATCTCAAACGTCCCTCTCTCTCCACTCATCCTTACACAGAGTTTTCTTATAACTATTTTTTTAAGATTTTATTTATTCATTTGAGACACAGAGATAGAGAGAGAGCATGAGCAGGGGGAGAGGCAGAGGGAGAGGGAGAAGCAGGCTCCCTGCTGAGCCAGGAGCCCGATGCGGGACTCGATCCCAGGACCCCAGGATCATGACCTGAACCAAAAGCAGACGCTCAACCATCTGAGCCACCCAGGCGCCCCTACACACTGAGTTTTCTATAAATTGCCAGCTCGCTTTCTCCAAAATGACTGATTTAAATTATAAGCTGCAGGGCACCTGGGTGGCTCAGTCGTTAAGCGTCTGCCCTCGGCTCAGGTCGTGATCCCAGGGTCCTGGAGTGGGGCTCCCTGCTCGGCGGGAAGCCTGCTTCTCCCTCTCCCACTCCCCCTGCTTGTGTTCCCTCTCTCTCTGTGTCTTCCTCTGTCAAATAAATAAATAAATAAATCTTTAAATTTTAATTATAAGCTGCAAGTAAAAGGGCTAGAATTCTCTTGCAGGGCATTCATAGCTTATACTTAATAGCACGTTACTGCTTATAAAGCTTTGTGATGTAATATTACCTAATAAAGACCAGGAATTCTTTTAGAAGACAGCTTCAAAGGATGGAAATTACTTGTCCAAGGTCTTAGCTGCAAAGTGGCAGGGCTAGGACCCACGCCCAGGGTGTTCCAACTCTACTTTCAGGGTTCTTTTCAGGCCACTGAGCAATACTTAACAGCACACACCCTGCAGTGTACCTGCGAGAACAGGCACTCGATCAAAACCGGTGGGGTAAATGGGCAAGGTCAGAACCAAGTTCAGATGCTGGCTCTAGCATCCCCCACTTGTGTGACCTTGGTCAAAGTCCTTTAACCTCACTAGAGCCTCCATTTCTTTGCCTTTAAAATGGAGCTTTATTAGAAACTACTCTCACTGAGTAGGAAGGAATTCATGAGGATTAAATCAAACCATGCCTATAAATCACATAGAACAGTGCCTCGCACAAAATAAGTACCTTGCTATGTTATCTAATTATTTTTTTAAAGATTTTATGTATTTATTTGACAGAGAGAGACAGTGAGAGCAGGAACACAAGCACGGGGAGTGGGAGAGGGAGAAGCAGGCTTCCCGCCGAACAGGGAGCCCGACTCGGGACTCGATCCCAGGACCTGGGATCATGACCCGAGCCAAAGGCAGACGCCTAACGACTGAGCCACCCAGGCGCCCTATGTTATCTAATTATTAAGAACAATAATAATTTAGGGTCTCCTCTTACTTAGCTTTCCCAAAACTCTTTTGCAAACCTGTTTTAAAAAGAAACCACACACACACACACACACACACACACA